GATACCTGTTTGAGCGTTGCGGGATCCAGTGGAATGGTTGTCGACAGATAGGGGGCTCCATCTGATGCGCGGCAATCCAGATGGTCGCCTGCTTGGCGGAGCTCGTAAGGCAAGTCGTCTTCCTTGATGAGCATGCCTGCACCTTCCGCATCGGCGTATCCTATCCTCTTCTTCTCATGCAAATCGATGTCCCCTGCATTGACGGAGAGCATGTGCCGTTGCGGCTCAAGCCAACGCTTCAGATTCGATATCCGCTTAGCGCGATCTTGTCGTAAACGTAACCTAGCACGTAGTGACTCCAGCCTTTGTTGCTCCTGCTTCTGTTGAGCAGATAGTTGGGTGATCAGCTCATTTGTTTGATCTATGGTGTCTTGTTTCAGACGCGCTTCTTGCGTGAACTGCATTGAAGCTGACTGGAGAATGCCATTCATCACTGTGACCATATTAGCGGATTTCTTGTAATAGATACGAGTGTCAACTTACAGGGTTGTATCTCTCGGCTAGTCTCTTCGACCTTGCTCAAGGGCGCCTTGCCCTTGCTGGGGCTATTTGCCGCAATTATGACTTCGCCGTCGCCGAGATCGCTGCCAACACCAAAGTCGATCGGTCTCGTGCCTTTGTGATTGGGTATGGTCGGGTCCGCCTGAACTTCCATGAGCTGAGAGATGATGTTGCGATTGCCTATCCTCGCTGCGAGGTTGAGAGCTGTATTGCCGGCTTTGTCGCGTGCATTTACCATCTCTTGCATAAACCTCATCAATCCTATTGGTTTCGGGTAGTTGCTGGTGTCGTGGAAAGAAGGCACCTGGTTGGCGCCAATGTTGCTGCGTACGAGATACTCAAGAAGTGCTTCGAGGTAGTACTTGCTGGAGGCCGCGCGCCCTTTTATGGCACAGGTCACCGCGATGTGATGCAGTATCGTCCGTCCCTGCGAGTCGCGGAGCTCGATAAGTGGCGCCAAGATCTCGAGTGTTTCCGGGAAGCAGCTGTGGTCCAGGCTGTTGTTGACAGAGACTGCACTCATGAGTGGTGTTTGACCTGAGGCATTTCCTCTGAACATGTTGGCTCCTTTGGAAACTAACAGCCTCATCAAGGACACTCGTGCCAGTGTCGCGGCCCAATGTAGAGCTGTATTTGAGGTGTTGTCAATTGGCATGTCCAGATCTGCGCCAGAGAGGTGAAGTATGGCTGGATGGTTCGTGAAGTCTGTCCTAGTCTGATCCGCGAATAGATCCGTAAGCATGGCTTGCTTCTCTTCGTTGTGCTTGGTGTCGGGGTGCGGTAGAGGTGGCAGGGCCGAGGGAACCTCGCCGTCGGGAAGTGCAATGCGCTGTCCAGTCTGATGTTGGTAGAAGCTCTCGCTTGGTTCTGTCGGCGAGCCAAGATCGCGCATAGACATGTCTGCGCCGTTGGGTTGTGAGTAGGATTCATCTTGGGACGTTCGCATGCGCTTCCTTGGCGGCTCTTGCGGGTCTTCAAGGCCTGTGCCATATGCTGAGTCGGTGTGTCCGTTCTGCCCGCTGAAACTACGCTCCGATGCTACGCTTTGCTGGCTGCTGGTGCGGAACGATTCTTGGCTGGCGAGGGGTCCTTGTGACGGCCGTGCCATGCTTCTCCGGCCCTGCGAGGAGGAAGCGGGTCGCGGTGCGGGTGAGTTGAGTCGCGCGACCTTGTTCATGGCGGCAAGTGCGCTGGTGGCTGTCGAGGAGATGTTGCTGAAAAAGGTACCGCCGACACTCTGGCTAGTAGTGCGGCCGTCCATGCTCTGGGTGTAGAAGCGCTTCCTGTTTGCTGCCATGGCCTGCTCTTTCGTGGGCGTCTCGATGCCCTGGCCCTGTCCCTGGTTACCATCGACGCTGACATCGTAGTCCAGCAGCGGTCGCAAGACATCCTCGACACCGTACTGGCGACAAAACTCTCTGCCGCGGCGGTAGCAGATCCATGTGCCCTGGTACTTGCCGTAGCCGCCCTGGACCTTTTCGTGTTCGCCGTTGAGTATCTCCTTCTCGAGGACCTTGGTGCGCTTTCCTTTGTCAACGCCAGCCACCTTGAGGATCTGGGTGGCATTGAGCCAGCCGTCAGAGCGTCGGCGCATAACAGCGACCCGATTGACTTCCATTTCGTAGACAGAGACGCCCGAGTAAACAGCCTAGATTGTCAGCGACTTGGTGCGACTGCGCAGATGCGGTGGTGGTGGTGCATACGGTGTATATCTGGGGCTTCTCCATGGCGTGCTGCTGGTAGCCGTTCATGTCGGAAAAGGACCGGTTGAAGCCAGCGGGCGCAGCCATGAGTCCCTGGCTGTGGGGAGAGTTCGCGTACATGGCCGACTGGGGCGGCGAACCTGCGGGAAAGGATAGCGACGTGCGCGCGACTTGCATTATGTCAGCGCAGTGCTGGCGGGCGTGGTGATAGTATGGTGACTGTACGGGTCAAACGATCATGGGGGCAGGCGCGGACAGAGGCTGGGCGCAGCGTGGGCAGGTGCAGTCGGGGTGCGCAGCCGTGGGCCGTAAGCGGAAGCCTCGGTGAAAGGTGCGATATGCGATAGGCGATATGCGCCGTATCAGGACTCGATGTTGATATGCGGGTGGGCGGGGGGTGAATGTGCCGTCGCTCGTCGAGACTCTAGAGGAGTGGAGATTCCAGAGGTCGCGTCTACGCGTCGCGGCCAATCAGCCGCCGCCCGAGTTTCCTCGCCCAGAGCACGGCCACGACTCGTCTGCTACCTTCCGGCTTGTCTCCCGCATGCCTACGCCGTTCCAGCAGAGCGCGTCACGTCTGCGGCCAGTCCATCTGCTGCGCGCCCTGCTGCGTGAGGCTTCGTACCTGCCCGATGCGACAGCCCGCACCTACTTCCGCCGCTACATCGTCAGCCGATTCAAGGCCTATCAGCCCAAGCAAAATGCGACGGCGTCCTTCGACGTCCAGGCCGTCGAGAAGTACAAGCACAGGAGCTTCAAGAGGCGGCAGATAGCGGTTATCAATGAGCGCACACGACCAATGCTCAGGAAAGGGCAGAAGGGTCTGAACTTCCTGCGCCGGGCCAACCTGGGCGAGATACCATGTCTGCAAAAGGTGCTCTTCTTCGCCTATGGGCGCATGGGAAGGAGGAAGTACCTCTTGCTGGAGAGGTTGCTGACGCCAGACCACATCATGGACGGCGGCGCACTCGCAACGCCCGTCGAGCCAGGGCAGGCACCGCTGCAGAAGCTCTATTACAGCAACAAGCGCTATCTGCAGTATTTCGATGCGCCCAAAGCCGCCTCCAAGACCGAGTATACCATCAACATCTCTAGCCGCTACTCCCGATTGCGCGCCGTCCTCAAGTCGCAGTGCCAGAAGGGCATCTCCATACACCGAGGGATCAAGCGTCCAGCCATGAAGACGCCTATCAACAATGTTTGGGAGCGGCCCATGCCGATCAAGCGCGCGGTCAACAATGTCCGACGCTGGTATGCCGAGACTATGACGAGATTACTTCCTCCATTACCGACCGAAGAGTGGGACAATATACATGCCATGGTTGTTGGGGACCGAAAGATCGATTTGGTCAGACGGAGAGGCCGCGCTTCAGTGTTGAGTGCTGAGCCAGCCGCAGAAGACGAGTCCTTCGCCCGCACAATAGAAGAAGGTATCGCTTTAGACAAGCCCAGCAGAGCAGATATGCCTGCAGGCGTGCAGCGACCGCATACCATCAACCCTAGGTTCATGAAACGCATGTATACAAAGCTCCTCATACTCTGCTGCAAGGTCGAGTACGACGACGAGCAGAAGCGATGGAAAGCAGTCTGGGGCGAACCTATGAAGTACATCAAACCCAGCCTCTACAACGTCCCTACAGATGAAACGCTCTTTGCGGGTGTTGATGCTACAGGCAAGATCCCGAAGACGCCCAAGAAGCATCTGCTGGAGAAATCACAGCATGTCCAGCCACGGAATGCCGAGGGCGAATATATGCGTTTTCCCTTCTTTGCCGAACGGCTTCCAGAAGATCACCCAATACGCAGGGAATTGGATGAGTGGAAGAGGAAACGTGCTGCTGCGAGAGGACAAAAGCGGGAAGTGTCGTAGCCTGGAGGCGGGGCACTACCCCACAAACTTGGAACGCGATTTGTAGGGCGCGTCTTACATGTACATAAAGTAGGCAGCACTCAGCACCGTACTTTGACCGTCACAGTGCATCGAGCAACGTTTTGACAAGCACAATGGCATCTTCAAGCGCAACAATTCGCCACGCGACCCGTGAAGGTAGAGTTTCCCCAGCCTACAGTAAAAGCCTACTAACAGCCTGTGCAGATGTTCCTACCATACTAGCCCTTATCAAGGAACTCGCGCTCTACGAAAACGCCAGTGACAAGGTTGACTCAACTGAAGAAATCCTCACGCGCACCCTCGCACACTACGACCCTTCCACCTCGACCTTCTCTGAAGGCTTCGCCCGTACACTCCTCCTCAGCGACCCCGACGGCACAGTAGCAGGCATGGCTCTATATTTCTACAACTACAGCACATGGACAGGCGTGCCAGGCATCTACTTGGAAGACCTGTTCGTCAAGGAGAGCTACAGGAAGAAGGGCTATGGCAAGCGACTTCTCAAGGAACTCGCTGGAGAGGTGCTCAAGGTCGGGGGCAGGAGGCTCGAATGGAGCTGCCTGGACTGGAATGAGCCTAGTCTGAAGTTCTACGAGAGCGAGATCATAGGTGCGCAGAGAAAGACGGCATGGGTGGGCTTGCGCGTAGATGGAGACGCTTTAGAGAAGCTTGCGAAGTCGTAGTCTCGAAGGATAAGGATTCATCTCATGCTTGCTGAGATTTGGCCCTGGTTCTCGTTCACTCTTGCATGATTGAGGAGCCGCCACGTGAACACGCGCAAGTAGGTCCGTGCGCCATAATCGTCATTCCGTCTTACATCTGCGACCGCACCTGCACTCCTGACCTCTCAGGCCTCAATCAAGTCAAATTCTGGCTACGTGGACATTACAATTTGCAACACCGCCATGGCCTACCCGCCTTTCATGGTCAAATCAGCTGAGATCGAAAGCTGCTGGGAGCAGCTGCGCAAGTGAGTATCATGAGTGTAATGCAGTTTGGTAGCAGTACTAACAAAACACAGGTTACTACAGCACGAGTACGAACAAACTGCGCTCGATCAGTGCCAACAATCCGTCAGTCTTCATAAAGGCCTTCAGGATATGCTTCGTCTCACCACCGACGTGGATGGTTTCCCGCCCCCTAGTATCGATTGTATCAAATCAAATCTGGGCGTTGAGCGCGATTTCAGCAAGGATATCGAGGAAGCCACAGAAGCATACAATGTCGCTGTCTGCCGCACTATTGGACCTGCCATGTACGGAAAGTTACCACGGGAATTGCGCGACATGATCTACGAGTATTTGACTACGAGCACACTGCATCTGACTCCTATCGCTGCATACTTTGCCTCGGAGGATTCCGACAAAGACGACCTTTGCCCAGAGCGCTACTGGCGAGCCGGTGTCATCGGTCCTGAAGTAGTGCATGAGCTCAGAGAATCTTGGTACCGGAACACCACGTTCCATGTAGATGGCGATCAGTCCATCAAGACGCTACTCGACAGAGATCGTTTTGATGCAGGATTGCAACCCCGCGAGCTCATCAACAAAGTCACACGTCAAATCGGGGTCGTGACAGGGACGACAGAAGAAGGAAACATGCAGACCGTGCTACATCTCTACGAACTGTTTCTATTGAGAACGCTGACACAACTACAAGTCAATGTATACATGTCCCATGTCAGGACTGGGGAAAGGGACAAGATGTTCAGGTCAATTCTGCGGCTCATACGTTCAACAATCATACGTCTGAGAGAATCAGGATATCAGTGTACAGTCACATTGGACGAACGATGTTCGGACTGTGTTGATCCAGAGACTATCACGGAGTGGGACGACGACATTGCAGCGGAGATTGATAGGCGGACAACCCCGCGCTGAGTGGGGTCTACAGAAGGAAGAAGGTAGACGACTTGTGGCGACAAGAAGAGGGCAGGGTATGTGTCTAATTGCTTCTTGATATCCCCAGGCTTCACGAGACTCTCCACAAGGAGAGTGGGTGCGCTCATTTGGAAAAATATCGCGATTGTACACTAGATGATTATGCCCGATGTGGTGGCGTTCAGCGTGCTGCTTCGTTTCAGCATTGACTTTGACTTCTGACTTTACAACAGCATCCACATCCTCGTTTAGTATACACTTCATCAATATCCAAGAAGCTACACTATTCATCTCGCTTCTTCCTCGCCTGCGCTAAGCCGCCGACTTGCCAAAAATAGCTCAACTTACGTCAACCCCAGGTCTACTTCGTCAGCAACAATCGACAGCAAACTCCCTCATTAACAGTCGTGAACGTCCAACTAAGTTGCTTCGGTTTTCGGAATCGATCATTGACCGGTCCGAGATGAATGGAGGTTTCGGGGGACTCGGAAGTCTTGGGCCGAAGAAGGACCGAGCCGTCAGCATCGATCAAGATGAGTACGCGTGGACCATGACGGCAATCCGAAGGAACAACAGTGTGCGAATGCAATTCTATGAGTCGGAATCTGACGGGCTGGCGAGAAATAAAATGTTTCCCCTAAAAAGGAAGACGCGGGAGTAGATAAAGTACAAGTGCGCGCTAATTTCAACATGACGGACACATTGACTGTTAGAAGGATCTTCATTCTACGACCATATTCACGAGATACCATAGCCAAAGTAGCAGCCACTGCCTATTCATAAACAGCAAGGAACAAGGCAGCGGATATCTGTACCTAGGGTGTTCGGCATGATACCCAATCTACGAGTTCCCTCGTGGTAGCCAGCCGGAATTTGCCCCGCCACCATCGTACGACATGGAGTTGATTACTTTAAGACTTTCCCATTCGAGCCGATGACAAAGGAAGAGGCGGCTTAGAAGGCATGTCGGGTTCCACAAAATTCAGCCACGAGCTGACAACTCCAGAAACCACAAGGATTTGGGGTACACACTCCGCTTCGGAAACATCGCCCGTCCGAAGCCGACGAAATGTAGATTACCATGGAACTTGCCTACCTATCTTGGGCATAGCAGATCGAACGGAATGTAGAAGCTTCGCTATTGAAACAAGTTGGCTATGCTGACCACTTACTTGATTGCGCGGTCCTTGCGAATAACCTATTGCGGACATGCTTCTTGTCAGGCAGGACCTTGTGTGCTAGCAAGGTAACACACGGCGGCTGAGCATGTACTGACAGTCAGAAGGTAACGGCCCTTCTGGTCGGATTCGGACGCTGACATACTTCCACGGCTGGGATTCAGGCCTCATGGATAGTTCTAAGGTCACCTGAACGCGTAGGCATGGAGCAGTCAGTATATATGAGCAAGCTGCTCATCGATGTTAGGCATCATCAGCAAATATCTCGGCTTCTCATCCATCTCCACCACAATCGTTACCGCCAGTATGCATTCTCAGTTCATTTCTTCCCGGATCGGGAAGAGCGCCATGCTCCTCCTGCTCTCCTCTTATCTTTCGAGCTACGCAGTTGCCACAGCGGTCCCCGAATCCGTCGATGTTGCCGTGATAGGTGCTGGACTTTCCGGACTTACCGCAGCGCGAGACCTTCTTCACGGCGGCAAATCGGTTATCGTTCTTGAAGCCAGGGACCGCGTCGGCGGCAAAGTCTACAACCATCCACTGAAGAACGGGGGTGTTACCGAAGTAGGCGCCGAGTTCGTTGGTCCAACGCAAGACAAAGTGCTGGAGATGATTTCCGAGCTGGGACTGCAGACATTCGACACCTACAGCGAAGGGAAGTCCATCTTGTGGAGGAACGGCACTCGAACAGTTTACACTCCTGATCCGGCACTTGGTGGTTCACCACCAGTGGACATGAAGTCTCTCCCTCTGGTTGCCAGTGCGCAGAAGCAACTGGACGACTGGGCAGCTGAAGTCAATACGAGTGCACCCTGGACGCATCCCAAGGCTAAGGAACTCGACAGCATGACGTTCCAGCAGTACATCGATCAGGCAGCACCCCATGCAGACGCCGACCTCGTCTTGACCACAGCCAGCAAGGCCATCTGGGCTGCGGAACCCCGAGAACTCTCTGTACTCTACGTGGTCTCCTACATCGCAGCAGGCGGAAACGAGACCAACGTCGGAACACTGGCTCGACTGATTGGCATCCAAGGCGGAGCTCAAGAGAAGCGAGTCGTAGGCGGGACAGGACTCATCCCAGAGCGACTCGCCGAGAAGGTCGGACACGAACACATCGTCATGAACGCCGCCGTATCAACCATCACCAAGACATCCAACGGCTACAAAGTAGTATCCCGAGCAGGCACTGTCCACGCAAAGCAGGTCGTCCTCGCCATGGCGCCTCCCCTCCTCCGTCAAATCACCTTCTCACCCGCCCTCCCCACCGCCCGCCAACAGCTCAACTCAGCAATGAAGATGCCATCCATCGGCAAAGGCATCCCCATCTACCCCACGCCCTTCTGGCGCAAGACCGAAGGCCTAAACGCCCAAGTCCTCTCCGACAACGGTTCCACACGCGTAACCTTCGACTCCACACCCGAAGACAGCAAATTCGGCGCCCTCCTCGGCTTCCTGCTCGGCGACGAGATGCGCGCGCTCGACGCCCTCAGCCCCGCTGAATGCGAAGAGAAGATCCTGTCAGACTACGTGCGGTATTTCGGCGAGGAAGCAAAGACCAACACGGAGTTTGTGTTGCAGCGCTGGGACTTGGAGGAGTGGTCCAGAGGAGGACCTGTGGCGGTTGCTCCGCCTAATGTGCTCACGAAGTATGGTCAGGCGCTGACGATGAGGGCTGAGGGGTTGCATTTTGCGGGTACGGAGACGAGTCCGTATTGGACTGGGTATATGGACGGAGCTATCCGGAGTGGAGAGCGTGTTGCTAAGGAGATTATGGGAATGGGGTACTGAGACTTGCGAGAATCGGGGTAGTAGTCACGGTGGTGGAAGTGGTAGTGGAGGGGTTACATCGTGATTTCGCTGTTCAAATCTGTAATTAGAAAAACGTACTTCTGTCTCCGGATCATCTTCAGTAAAGTAAATGGGATACTCTTTCCAGCAAGACAAGGTCGTATCATACTTTGGGTCGCCGGAACGCAGGAGTTCTAGGTTCTTAGTTCCCAGCGCCATATCCGGGGAAGGGTGTTCGTGATCGACAGGCCCGCGCGGAATATACTTTCAGTAGCTGGGGTTGCTAACCTGCGAATTGCTTACTTTGACGCCAGATCGACATGTCACGGTGAGCCTCGGCTCCACCGTACACCATGGGGTTTGTGTATAATAGGAAGCTGGAGGATGTGGTATTTGCTTTTTTTTATCATCTCAGCATCATTCTGACTCGTGTTTTGCTCTTACCATCTCATACCCGCTTTAGACCATTGGTTCAATCGCAAGATATTCACCGACATCATGCACTTCTCACTTCCCCTCCTTCTCCTCCCCGCCATCGCTTTCTGTGCGCCTGTTGCGGAAATCTTGCCTACGGCGCAGGATGTGATTCAGTCGGTGTTCAACATCCACAGCGCTGTTCTCGAGCTCGATCAGAAAGTACAAGCCTTTCAGGGTGGCTCCTTCGAGACCGCCTTTGTCGAAGGCAAAGAAGTGCTCGCGGGCGTAGCGAAGATCCACGAAGTCAACCGCGAAGGGTTCCGACGAGCAACCCTGGCTCTGCCGCCATTCTCCATCAAGGATACTACCGATCTGATCAACACGGTCGTAGCGACTGGTGAGTTATCACGGTCCTTCCAGCACAGACAAAATGCTAACACTCGCTGCGAATAGTCAACGTCAGCATCCCGAACGCGACTAAACACCTCCAAGAGAAAGAGCCCGTGTTCAAGGCGAACGGCTTTTCAGCCATCGTTATCGCTAGTCTGGCGCTGTTGGAATTCGACCACGATACGTTCAGCGCGGCAGCAGCGAAGAACTTCAACTTCGCTACCCCGAAGCCGAAGTTGGACGAGGGCATCGCGGCGGCGGCGAACATCCACAAGGTTATCCAGGATACGATTGTGTTCTACACTGTAAACGTGGTCGCTTAAAGGGAAGGACTGTATCCGAATGTGGTTACAGCGGTGTAATGTCCGTTTATGATAGGTGCCACGCGTGCGCCTTCTATAGGAAGTCGCGTCCGTATCAATACAAACACGTGCCCCATGTATCCGCCTGCGTCTGCACCTGCACCTGCACCTGCACCTGCACATGCGGAGAAAAGTAAACATGCCACCGATGACGTATCAGAGTGATCGCCCGCCAACCTTGTTTCTCCTCCACGCTCCACAGTCTAGATGCCGCTAGCTCTCCCGTAGCGCTCCATGCCATCATCCATTGTCAGCCTCAGCCCCAACTTTTCGGGCTTTGTGATCTCCAGACTTCCCTGTTGCACATCACCCCTCTTGTTGTTCCTGCCAAAGTAACAACACCACCACAGTACACTCGCTACACAACAACCCCCGCAGCGAAATTCCTCACAATGGGCATCTGCGGCAGCAAAGAGAAAGGCGGCGAGTCAACCGAAATGGCACGACCCTCGCAATCCCAAAACGCAGCCTCAATCGCGCAAACCCAACAAAACATCCCCGTCGCCAACGAAGGCCCCACCGTAAAACCGCGCCGCTCCCCGGACAACCCCATCGTATACTTCGATATTGCAATCGGCGGCAAGCCAGCCGGCCGCGTGCAAATGGAATTGTTCCTCGACGTTGTACCCGCGACATCAGAGAACTTCCGCCAGTTCTGCACGGGCGAGGCGAAGCGCGGCGGCGGGTACAAGGGGAGTACGTTCCACCGCGTTATTCCCAACTTTATGATTCAGGGAGGCGATTTCATGAATGGGGATGGGACGGGGAGTGCGAGTATCTTTGGGGGCGACTCGTTTGATGATGAGAATTTTGAGTTGAGGCATACGCATCCTGGGCTGTTGAGTATGGCGAACTCTGGGTA